CGCCCCCCGCCCGCCCCGCCGCCTTCTCCGGCGTGAAGACCTCCCCTCTTCGCCACCCGTCCCCTTGCCCTTGAAGAAGAACTTTGCCGAATTTGGTTCAAGTCCTGATTGCACATGGGAGGCGTGAGGCTCCGGCGGCACAGCGGACGGAGGGAAATCGAGAACAGATTGACCTGGAGCGCGGGCCGCCACAGCGGGGATGCTGGGCCGTTCCGGGTGGGGCCGCCCCGTGCTCGGGGCATTCGGTTGTCCTTGCGCGGGATCTGTGGTCGAGTCCTGAGAACCCAGGGCCCGGCGCGGCCGCCTTGGCGTTCGTGGTGGGACAAGGACACAAGATTGTGGACGCCCTGTCGCCGAACGTTCTCGTTAAAGACACATTGTAGTCTCGTTTGACTTGACTAGCACGAGGCTTTGGCAAAAATCTCCGTAGGGAGAGATTCTAGGGATTATTTTTAGTGTTTTTGTTTTTCGGTTTTTTGTTTTTTCAAATGGTTCTCAGGAATTTTTTAAAGCACAAATACCCATGTACTTTGGTGGCCCGCAAGGGTTTGTTGTGCAGTGATTAAGAGCTGGCCCTAGACACGTGTATCTCCAAGCGTGCTGCCCAGACTAGCAGCGTCAGCATCGCCTGGGAAGGTGCAGAGATGGAAAATCACAGGTATTGCTCCAAACCTAGGAAATCAGAAACTCTGGGGCTGGGGAGCAGCAGTCCGCCTTCAAGCCCGGCAGGTGATGATGATGTAGACGAAGGGTTGAGACCTGAGCGGAATCCTGGATTCCTTTCCCGGGCTCACCACCAGCTCCCTGTGTCAGCTGAGTGTTATTTAACTCTTTTGTGCTTTTAGTTTTCTCATCTGTAAAATGGCGTGATCATGGCAACGATTTCTTAGCGTTGTTATGAGGACTGAAGGAGTTAACACGAGTAAGATGCCTAGAACAGGGCCTGGCACTCATATAGTAAGCACTCATATCTGCCCCGGAACAGAATGACCAATGATGGTGGACAGAGCACCAAACTCCCACTTTGTGGAATGGAGATACTGGTAGTTCCCTCCTATGTGAGCTTGTAGGACTAAATCAGGCATGCAAGGTGCTTGGCACAGTGCGGGACTCCTGTTAATGCCTAATCTGTCACGGGAGCAGACTGCTTCTGGGGGGCCCCTCGTCAGGCACCTGTGACCCTCTCCAGCTGCAGGTCCAGGGCGTTTCAGAGTTCCAAGTCAAGAGGAGGCCTTTCTGAGATTTTGTCCTCTATTTGGGCACGTTTGTTCCCTCTGAAAAACCTTTTTTATTAAAACGAAGGCGTAAAGGTAACTGCTGTAGGAAGGAAACTATGAAAGATATTTAAGTAACCTACAGTCAGAATGGTTCAGATTGGACATGTTACTCCTAGGACACTATCTTCACGCCTTATCAAAGCCTTATCAAAGCCCGGAGCCCTGTTAGTCATTTTCGGCCCATTATCTGCTGATAGTATGTGCCTCCAATCTTTTATCTCAGTATATTGTCTTCTGAACTGGATGTTTAGAATTGCAGTGGCCCACAACCTTTATTTCTGAACTTTACCCTGTAGGTAAATACTGAAAAATGAACTGGTGTGTGGCTGAAAAATGAACTAGTGTAGTAAAAATGAAAAGATCACAGGTTTCAGAATCAAACAGAGCTACGTCTGAATTCCAGTCCCAGCACTTACAAGCTTGTCACTTTGGGCAAGCCTCTTAACCCGACGAACCTCCCACCTCTTCTTCCGAAGAACGGGGATGATGATATATATTTCGTGGCGTTCCTGTGTTGCTGCGTCATATAGTGGGAGCATTGAAATTACTCAAATTCGACTTACAAGGATACTTTTCTTGTATAAAGTCCTATTTTGCATAGGCATTCCCCATGTGACTTACATAATAAGCATTACACATCGTATCTACATGCTACTGCTATACAGGGTAAAACATTTGTACTGTATCTTATGAGTGTTTTGAGGGGATTTTCCCAGGGTAATTTATTTTCACCTGACTTTAGAACCTAACGCCCCCACACAGCCCTGCCTCTCTCCCCCACCCCCAACATACACATGAGACCGAACTCCAAGGAATCTCTGACAATTGCTGAGGACAGTGTATTGAAGCTTCGGTGTGCATTAGAATCATTCACGGGGCCCCCTCTAGGAATTAGGGGTCAAGAAGTCTTAGGTAAACCCTGGGACCCACTGCTTTAACAAGTCTCCAGGTGAGTCTGATGTACACCAAAATTTGAGAACCCGCTATGTAGGGTGTGGCAGGCCCCTGCCATGTTATTTACCTTGCCCCTCCCTTCACCCTTCTGTGGAGTAATTCCCCTGTGTTTGTAAGTCATGGGTTTGTTCATATTTGGAAGGAAGCGAGGAAACCTGGAACCGGGAGTCTTGAATATCATTCTCTGCTCTCCTAAGGACTAGCTATTGACCTTGAACGACTTGCTGCTTGTTGCAGGGTTTGAGCTTTTTAGCTAGAGGAGGGAAATCCTGTGTCAACACATGAGCCTGGTGAAAGGCTGGTGGTTAAGTGCTGGGAGTTCTTCGGGCAGGCGACACCAAAGTGAGGCTGGGCGGCCCTCAAGGTATCTTTAGACACAGCGGCAAGGACAAGAACTATTGCACAGAACATCCACTTGCCCTGACTGCAGGATCCCTATCAGATCCCCTGGGATCCTATCTCCACACTGGTGCCAGGTTAATCTCAACCCGTAAAGAAAAGTTCACAAATAGTATGACAATCTCTAGCCACAGTCACTTCAAAAAACAGTTAAGAAGGACACGGTGAGAACATAGCCACCTGCAAGTCGTGGAGAGGCCACAGACGAAACCAAACCTGCTGACACCTTGCTCTTGGACTTGTAGACACCAAAACTATGAGAAATTAAATTACTATTGTTTAAACCAAAAACAAACAAGAACAGTCAAGAGACAAAGGGAACTATATAGCGTACCCTTGGCAAAATAAGGATTTGGGGTATATTTCAGGACTTGATAACCTTGGGTGGAAATTCACCACGGTGATTGCGTAGAGGACATGGAGGCCTCAGCCACAGTAGCCGCATTTTGTTAAGTCGTGCGGTGCTGGTCCACAGTGCCGTTTACAGCATCCTTTGTACCTTTGTGCGGATCTGAAATATTTTACGATAAATATTGTAAATGTAACCTCAAGTAAGGTTTTCATTGGCAGAGATGACCATTAAAGAGAATGAAGCATTTCATGTGATCTTATAAATGAGCTCAATATGCCAATCCCTGATCAGATCTAACAGCTCTTTCAGCATCTGAAGGGGTGACCAGTTGGTTCTTGCAGTGTGGGAATGCATGGGAACGAATGGGATTTACATAGCCTGACAGGTGGCCACTCTGCTTTGTGTCCAGAGTAACTTTTAATGGTCTTCAAAGGACAATAAATTAGAAGGAGCTTCTTGGTCCTATTTTGATGAAAGTCTTTATATAATTTAGGTCCACTAAGGAGAATTCTGGCCCTAGGTGTTCTATTTAAATTGTTTCCTTGTTTGTTTGTTTAAATAATTCACATAAATAACCATAATAGTTTCTATGTAAAAGGGTGCCAATGACCACGGAACTCGTTTGACTAATAAACTCCCGAATAGCATAGATTCTTTTACTGTAATTTGTTTTATTCCTAATCATTTTATGGATTTTTTGGAAAAAAAAAGTTTTTTAGCTTAAAAGCATTGGTACGAGGAGGTCGTGGCTGGGACCTTCCACACCATTTTGATACCCTCATTTTACAGAGGAATCAGCCCCACAGAGATGCAATCAATTGTCCACACCTGCACCTAGACTTCTCTTGTCAAGACCGCCAGTGACCTCCGTTTTGCCGAATCCAGAGGCCAACCTTCTCTCCCTCATCTTACC